TCAGTAGAATAAGTGCTTGCCTAGCAAGCACAAGGGCTTGAGTTCAATCCCCAGTTCTGCCAAAAAAAAGAAAGAAAGAAAGAAATCAACCAATAATAAATGCTAGAGGGGCTGTGGGGGGAAAGGAATCCTTCTCCACTGTTGGTGGGTGTGTAGACTGGTACAATAACTATGGAAATCAGAGTAGAGATCCCTCAAAAATTACGACTGGAGGTTCCACTTGACTCAGCCCTTACCCTTCTTGGTATCTTCCGAAAAAATCAAAAGGATCATACCACAATAATATATGAAAAAATATACAAACACTCATGTTTACAGTCACAGTTTGTAATAGCCAAATCTTAGAAACAGCCGAGATGCCTGTCACCTAATGAGTAGATAAAGAAGGGGTTTGTACAACAGAATACTACACACTCTGAACAGAATACATATGCTCTGTCACATACAAGGGTGCGCTTGGGACAGTAAGTCAAAGAAATCAGACATGTGTTTAAATGCCACATTGTTTCTCTGGTGTGAGAAGCTAAAAATGTAAATATAATATAAATATAAAAATATATAAATAAGAACCAAAATGTATAATGTGTATTGTGAAATAGGAAGAAAATGTTCAAATGGGGGATGACGGGGGAGGGATCTAGGAAAGAAGGAAAAAATTTTAAAAATAGAGAAAGAAAGAATGGAAACAAAGCTTTCACACATGAGGAGGGGAGAAAGAGTTGAAGAGAGGGTTGAGGGAAGGGAAAAAAGAATCAAATTATATCATGTACAGGTAGGTACAAAGTCTCTATGGTGAATGTGGTCATTATGTATATCTAAAGTGTGCCAATAGGGCTGCGGACGTAGCTTGGTGGTCTAGATGCCTGCCTGGCAAGTCCAAGAACCCAGGTTTGATCCCCAGTACTACGTGCTGTGCCAGCCCAAGCCAAGCCAGTCACTGAAACCAGGTGTGGTGGCATATTCCTGTAATCCCAACACTGGGGAGGCTGAGACAGGAGGATCACTGTGAGTCCGAGCTGTGTAGTGAGACCCTGTGCCAAATAAATAAATAAAAGATTTAAGGGCTGGTGAGATGGCTCAGTGGTCTAAAGCACCTACTTGGAACAAGCTTGGCAAAGCACAGGGACGGCGGTTCAATCCCC